AATATATATAATAACTAACGCATGGACTTTGAAATTAACAGCTTTAGAACTTTAATTCAAATCTTACACCAGTTTAAAGTTTATAAATGTATGCTATGCAAATTAAATTCAAATACTCATAATTACGAATCTTAATAATAGTACCACCTATTATATATATCAATGGACACATTTAATCTGTATATACCAACTTTGAAATACAATAATCATGGATACGGATCCTCATATTGTTATTATTTTGTTTTAATTTATTGATTTTCAGGTAATTTATAAGTTCAGTCAATTAATATCTACCCTTAAGAACACAATGTAATAACCTTGTAAATAGAGCTTATAACACAGGGTATTTKTTAACGTTATGTGCCTACTTTTTGTTGATGAACGGTGGAAAGGTAATAGAAAAATATAACAAAGCCCTTCATAACTATAATGTTCTAGCCATAAATCCTAGATACGCCACAATAATATAGTATTTCAGCTGTGTATATTTCGTGAATTTTCGATGAATGGTATTAAAAGTTATTTCTTAAAGTTCAGTACAAATTAATATTGTCAATAGAATGATATAATTATATTTTAATATATAAAACACTATCATACAGATCAAAAAATTACTATTAATATTTCATGTAATATAATATATAAATAGCCATATGCCATAAAAATGTATAGAAATTAATTTAACTGCAGTAACTTGTACTTATAAACTGTAACACGCAACTTTTTATATTATTATTGTTAGTTATTAATTATAATGTTTTCAAGGTGAAGTAAATAATAAGTTGGATAAATTTTCATTTCGGTAACCATATATGGAAGTTTATTTTTATACTGGTTTAACTTCTTATGTTATTGATCAGCTTAATATAGGTTATTCGTTTTTAAAAATTTAAATTAAATGTTCTAATATTTGTTTTTTACAAAAAATAAATCATAAAATACTCTAACTACCTAGTTAAATTCACCTATACTCATGAAGTATAATATAACGTTAATAACTAATAAGCAGGGTTGAGATTTTGTAGCATTTGCATATTTCTTATTAGATGCTTAAAAAATAGCAGACTAAGCTAAAAATGTGTTTCATGATACAAAGAACTCAAATTAAAAATTTCATTCTGCTATTTTTATCAAATTTAGCGATTTTTTTAGTTTTTAGTGCTTTTTTGAGTTTTTTGCATTTTTACTTGTTTTGAATCAAAATCGGT